TAAAAACATGTTAAAGGTAACTGCTTTTTCTGGACTTCTATCCAACAGACCTTTCTGGTATGACAGGACCTCGAGAGAACAAGCATTCTATCAGCATAGCTCGTTGGGTCATTTGTGACCACCACGTCAAGGTAGCGGCTATCGATACTAAAAACCGGCGTATCTTCAATGAAATACAAAAGGCAACGAAACTATAACATATCCTTCCTAGATTTGTCTCCTCGTTTACCTTTAATTCCTGATCCCAGTATTAAGCCTTTTACAACCCCTTACCTTGAGACGGTTGTTAACGATCCCAGCTAACAAATCATCATTCCCAATCTTCCAAAACCATACTATCAGTTTTAGATTCAACCTCCTTACGTCACAACCCCGTACCGGATACAACTACAGATGTCTCTTGTCAAAACCCTGGAAACTCAAGAAATAGGTGGATACAGTATATCTGAGAAGCATATACACGAACCAAGTGTGGTTGTTCATCTAACCTCAACTGTCCAATATAATGAATCTGGAAAAACTACTTTGTGAATTTCCCGAGATTCAATCCCTATCTACCATGGACTATCTGGAGCAGGCATACCATTACGTTCTCTAGCAGAAAAGACACTTCTCGGCTGGATATCACTCAACACCCGTCTTTGTGCTTTCTGACCGAGTAGGTCCATAAGAACTGGATAAGACCGTAACACTTGTCAACCCCTATTCGTAACCTCAACCTACGTGTCCACTTACTGTAGTTCCGGTGATACAAAGAATGAATTCTATCAGAAGCTGTCAGTTTTGTCACATAAATCAAAACGTTCACATCTAGTCATACTAGCAGGCGACTTCAACGCTCAAGTAGGAGAGTTGAGTCAGTCGGAAAGGCGACTTGAAGGTGTCCGCTGTATCCTATCCCAACTGACCGACAACGGTGATCGTTTCTTATAATTTCTTTTGACAACCACTTCACTTACTTCTGGTCAGCACTAACTTCCAGTATACGAAGAGACACTGTCTCATTTCGTGTCCACCGACATCAAGTCAACAATGGACACAAGTAGATCACATTGCTGTAATTCATCGTCAGAGTCGATCAGCGGAGGGGTGCCACCCCTTTTGAGAGTACTTACTTGGACTCAGATCATGTGCTGGTTCGAAAATGTGTATATGTGCGCCTTAATGGACGCTGAGAACATACAGCAGTTCGACTTCTATGTACTTGACTACAAGATGAAAACATCAAGTCCGCATCCAGAAGGAGGTAACTAGACATTTGTCTGAACATAACAGCAATTCCCTCCCTAAGCAAGCCTCGGGTAATAATCCATCCACTAAAGAAAAAGCGGTTAATACACTTGCTAACCAATATCTAAACTCTACCAAAGGTCAGTTCATTTCCATAACCACATTCAAACTGATTGATATGAGAAGACTCATTCCAACTGGTCCTGACCACAATCACGAAAGGAAGTAACTTAAATGTAAAATGACTACGAGCTTTTACAATGACTGCAAACAGTGGTGGGTGATGAAAGCGAAAGACAGAAAAAGTATCAGCATTAAGTAATACTTGCCAATTACTAAGGCTTTTTAAGAATATTGCAAACAAGAAGACGATGGTTAATGAGAACATCACCGAAAAGAATATGCCACTGTTAATCTCTCAGGGCAAGTGGCTAGGACATTGTGTAGAACACTTTGAAGAACAGTTGAGCTGACTTACAGTCAAGCTTCACTTACCTAACATCCAGCTCCAACCTGAATAGGATCAACATGTCGATACTCTAGCTCTCTTCAAAGTTGACGAAGATCTTTCAAATTTAAAAGAATGCAAAGCGACAGGACCTGAAATTTTACCACCTGAAACTTCCTAGGGATAGGGGGAGTAAATTACAGAGTAGAGTAACACAGAAACCAGCTGGTTTATGGAACCAGAGGCAGTCTCGTTAGAGTGGTCTAGATCGCTGAACATTCCGGTTTATACAACCACAGGGGGGTCAGTTCAATTAATATCATGTTCAAGATCCATAGTCGTACAACTCTCAACCAGAACTTTACAAAAAAAAAAAGGCAGATTTCAAACCTGGACAACGGCGCATCGATTACATTTTGACACTTTGATAGGTTCTGGAACATAGGCATACCTACTGGGGACCGACAATGGTTACATCTCTGCTTGAAGGTGGCATCCGACTTTTGAGGTCGAGTGTTGTGTCAGTATTCGACTGTGAAGGAAGCGCTAAGTAAGTATGTGATGCTAGTCAAAGCTTTCTACTTAAACCCAATCAACCATGTAAAGGTCTATTGGTAGTTGTCATCTGCAGTGTCCACTGTTGATGTCGCCTAAAACCGTACGTCTAACTCTGTTATAAAAGCACTAACGACCATAACTCTAGGCAAGTCGAACCTTTCACGGATTCGTACTCATTCTAGAGAGCGTTTCGGTGACTTAGAATACACAGAACACAACCTCCTGTTAGGTGAAAGTGCTGACCAAATGCAAGGTATTCTGAACATCCTGAGCAGAAATCTGCGTATGTTTGACATAGGTTTTGTACCTGATAAATGTCAGGACTCATCTGCATCAGCTCCTAGTTTAAAGATAGGGGGTGAAGTGGCGAGTTACGTTGACCACTTCATTTACTTGAGGAATGTTGCACCAGCCAAAATGGGTTGGTTATTGATGCTATCTCAGCTCGAATACAAAAGGCCCATTTCGAATTCGCCAACTTGAGCCACTTATGCTGTCGATAGGAAATTTGACTGCTTATCAAAGAATAAGTGTGCTGTCCAATAATCTGCTCCATCCTATTATAAGGCTGTGACATCCACTTAAGATAGATTCGACTTTTGTTCATATGTATCTTCATGCTACTACTCGTGTGTGGTTTTATTACTATGATAAATGTTGGGATTAGACGCAGGTTACTGAGCAAATAAAGCAATTCAGTTGACGAAGTTGTGAACTTTCAGAGACAGAGGTGGCTTGGACATGTGCTGAGAATCCCAAGCCACTATCTACTTTGATGTGCAACTTTAACTGAAGTAGGGTCAGAGCGGAAGAAGACTAGACTAAGACATAACAATCTATGAAGTCGTTGGCTGTTAGTTTGAGCCATGGGAGAAGGGATGGAGGTCGCTTGGTTGGGGTTCTCAAAATGATGGGAATCAACGAGTAGAGATTACAGGTGACAGCTTAGGATCAGTCGCAATGACCCGGATATATACACTATTCGTCGCCTTTAATGTCTCAGAAAGTTTCACCAACCTTCATATAAATCTATTCTTATTTTGTAGGTGTTTCTACTTTAAGGACACCGTTTATCTACTTGCTTTTTGCTTGTTGATGTGAATTCTAGTAACTTGAACCAATTCATTTCCATATCAGGTTCCACAGTGGTTTTCTATCTGTCAGGGAGAGTATTCAAACCCTTCGATAAGAATCTTTTAGATAGCATACATACTAGAATCGAAAAACGTCATACTTGAGAGACAACCGTAGGTTGGCCATCATACTATCGAGCCAATGTATATTTAGCGGATATTCCCGAAGTTTGCATTCGTCAAAACGAGAATGTAAGTACTATACGATAGTTCTGTGTAAATTATCAGGTTTTTATGAACTTATGATATTCATTTTTGTGAGTAATAAGATCAGTGGAGTGTCCACTCAGAGGCAATACTTAACCACGACCCTAACATGCCAGAGCTTGAAGCGAGAATTTTCCCCCGGTGTTTCGTCTTTTTAATGAAAGAACTCTTCGCAAGTAAACCATAAACGTTAGATACTAGCTTTTTAAATCCACGTTCTAGATTATGACATTATCCTAATTCTTGAAACTCCAACTGCTAATGTCTGGCAAACTTAATAATCAGAACTCCTCAGCCACTGAAGTGGTTTTAACTTTTCACCGCAATAATTCAGAATTTTAACAGAAACCGTACTATTTTACATATAAAGAGAACAAGGATTAATAAAGCTTCAACTGACCGACAATTAGCAAATAACTGACAAACAGTTGACCAGGTGTTTCAAAGCTGTCACTATTTTTGATTCTATCTAATACCTTACTTGCCTAAGGCATCATTTGAAACACAGTAACCATAAAGCCAATATATGCTTCACAGAAAGATGAAGTTTCTAAAACGCAGGTACTAAGTTAACGCAGAAGAAAGCGAAAACACATAAGCTATCTGCATTTATCTGATGTCAGAGAAAACTGTTACTAAAACTTCGAAAAATGCATTTCTATATAAAGATTTGTGTGTTGGTATGCCTAATCTCTGGACTCGTCCTAGAACTGATTTCCTAGAAGGTTGCTACATGATGGTAATTAAACCGTATTTGGACTTACTTCGGGTGAGACGTTGGTTCCGTGATTGTGTGACAAACTAGGAATCACGAGTTCCAGGATTAAGCGGCAGTACCGCACTTGCAAAACTCACTCAAAAAGAAAATGAGTCATCAAACAACATGACTACCAATATAAGTCAGTTTGCTTACCTATAAGCAAAAGCAAGAAGAATTCCGGGGACCTAGTTATCATTTTTTTTTAAAATTCAAACTATAGTTTAGTACCGAAGCCACATTTTCGTCAGGCCGAGTAGGACAATGCTGGGCCACTCGCTTTAGAAAACGTCGGGCCAAATGTGTGACCAGATGTAGGTGTTCTGCAATATTTTCCCTACGCCTGACTCTATGTTTTTTCGGGTTTCATGTTTGGCATATTTAGTCCAACATCTGGTACTAAGCTTCTACAAACAGCTCGACGTCTAGCCCCGAGCACTGATTGTTGGCCCTAAAATCAGCCCCATTGACCCTACGTTTGGTACCATTAAAACAGTGGCCCAACGTGCACCACATCTGACCCTAAATCATATTAATATCCCAACGCCAGGACCAACGTTGCCCCCACGAAGTTGGTGACTGGGGTATGTATATGCATATTTGTAAACCGACACAAATTCGTATAGACAAACATCATGAAGTCATCTTCGAAGTTAAAATGTTTTACCTTCAGCTATTATCGTCTCCACAACTAGTGAAAAGCTGCCCAATCTAAAATTACGACCGACAGAAGTAAGTTGAGGACTTTGGTGATTGCCAAGGTTGTTATAAGACGTAAATCCTTCGTCAGAATCACCTTGCGCGAGTCGTGCCAATATTTTCCTCATAATTTGTGCGAATAAACCCGTTAACACATAGCACAGAAACACCACAATACATGCTCTGTGGCTGCCAAGACTGAATAAACAGCTGACAAACGACAACTCAAAGAACAATGTCAAATGTCTGAAAAAGGTCGAATTCAATATTCAATATCTTTTCAAGAGGTTATTTACACCAACTGATTTCTTCACGCTTTCTTCTAGGTCTCGCAGAATAGTTCCAGGCTTTTGGTCAGTTCCGATGCGGTAAATCTACCCACCCACCCACCCCTCCTAGCTGTAATTCTGGTATACCGGATGGGCGGTTAGATGTATTCAGGTCTCCTCTTAGCTTTCTATGCTCTAGCGGATACAGACCCAGCACAACCAGTCTTTCTTCATATGTTTTAGATCTAAGCCTTTGAAAGGATTTGGTCGAGCACCACTGGATGCTTTCTAAACTTCATCTGTCCTGCATAGAAGGTGGGAAGACGATAGTCCTAGACTCTAGGTGAGGCCTATGAAGCTGTTGGAAATTTGGCGAAAACATCTAGTACCCAACTATCCGAAACCTTTGCTGAGGTTTACCAACGCCAAGTTTCCACAATTTGCCTTTCTGAGACAGTTGGTATGGGATTTCAAGTCTTGCGAGACTCCCAAATCCTTCTCTGACAACCACACTTCAAGTTCCATGGTGTTTGGGTCAGATAGGAGACATGCATCACGTTTTGCGTGTAACACCTTGCGTTTTTCACGATTAACTACTGGCCTATCACCGGCTGCCCAGTTCTGAAATTGGGTCAAATCTTCCTTTGGAGAAATGCCGTCTTCTTCATTTTGATTTCTCCCCATAGTTTCGTTTTATCGTCAAAAAGAAGGATTTCGGAAGAAATATGTTAGGGCAAGCAGTTTGTACACATTAAGAATAGAGGGGGTCCTAGTACTGAGCTTTGAAGAACACCACTAGGACATTCTGTTTCTTAAGACAGAGAAACTCATTCGAACTTTAAATAAACGAACTAATAGATATGAAGATAACCAGTCAGTGAGTGGTTGTTTCACTCCGATTAACTTTTAAAAATCAGTAGCGCAGTCATGATTAACGCGATCACACACCTTCTCAAAGTCCTGACAAATGACATCAATCTGACCTCAAATATCGAAAATGCTGGTCCACCAATCTACTACGGTGATCAGATCAGTATTACAGGAGTGCATGTAGCGACACACACACTCCTCCAGAATCAATAGCCTGGGTTCTCAATTTCTTGCTGTCGCACGTTCACTACTGCAGGTACTAAACACGCACGTTACAGTTCATACTTTTAGCCCCGAAATAAGTAATCTTTATGCACCTCTCAAATTTGGACTTCTGAAAGAAATTATCCCACAGATAACCAGCGTTCAGATGACTTGCTTCGCAACATCCAGTTAAGAAGCAACTCAGCTACTGATGTCTTCACACACATGTGAGAATTTATGGGCACACGAACGTTCGATAACGGTCTTTTCCGAGAACTGTTTCTCTGGAAACCACCACAACCAGTGCAAACCGCGCTAGTGACACTTCAGTCAGTCCTACTCAATGACCTGGCAGCCTCGGCAGATGAAATGCCGGAGATCTCCAGCAGGCCCTTCTCTAACGTACATTCGATCTCTGATAAACCCAGGATTCAGGAGTAACCAAGGTGTGCAACCCTGCTGAACAGCTGCTACGAACCCAAAACCCTAGGGTAAGTAGCACATCATAGGAAGGCGTCTCAGTCCACCGCGGTAACTTGCGCGGTTGTCTAAAAACTATACTTAACAGGACGGAAAACCCTAAATAGTAATAGTTTCGCAATACCTGCAGAACTGAAGCCGAAAAATGCCGGAAGCCATTCAGTTTCAACATGGACACAAAGTCGGGAAACGGTTACGCCAGCACGCGTTCACGGAAACCGTAGCCGGCGTAAACAGCCGTTTGCTTTACGTCACCTACGTAAAAACAAAAGTTTGCCACCCCGTCGACACCGGTGCAGAAGTTGGTGTTCTTCGCGCACCGGCAGAGGAACGTCATCACGACCCATCGTTCAATCTTCAATCAGCCAACAGTAAGTCGATCCCAACCTTCGGGAAACAGCATGCCTACCTCAACCTAGGTTAACGCCAACCTATTCAATGGATTTTCCTCCCGGCTGATGTTTCTATGTCCACCACCGGCAAAAATTTGCCGAACCACTAGGACCTGCTTTTGGATGCTTGTCGTCAACGACTGATAGATAGTAACGCAAAGTTATGTTGGCGGCACCACCTACGTTGGTCCGAGTTTAGTCATGGCTGGAACTAGACACCCGGGCCACACGTCCTACCGGGCGGTTTTAGAGAGATATCCAGAGTTGCAATGACCAAAGCATACTCTGCCGTGCAAAGTCAGCAACGGTACGCATCGCGTCACAACCACAGGTCCACCTGTGGCATCCAAAGCACGCAGCCTAGCATCTGACAGGTCCAAAATGGCTCAAAGTGAATTCGACTACACGCTCAAACTGGGCATTATCAAACAGTCAAACAGCACTTGGGCATAACAATCAAATACAGTTTACAAAAACGGGTAGCACATTCATCGAAATTCTTGACGATGTGTCTGGTGATACACAGATACAACGGCCACTAGCGCAACAAAAAACATGGTCAGATCGAACCATGAGGTTCTCGGAGTATCTAAAGACATATTCAAATAAGCGGTGCAACTTAAAGTGTGCCAACCATTTTCCACCTGGTGTCTCATCAACACAAACCAGTGGGGAGTCTCATTTCGCTTCTAACACACCACACATCGCCCATAGGCACACTAAGTGGAAATGAACCTAGTGCGATAGGCATAACTGATATTGTAGGAGAGTTCATCAGTAATGGAAACCTGTTTACATTGTTGATCATTAACCCACGTTCCCTACCTAAGGAAATGCCTGTCCTTACAGCAACGGTTCTAATCACTAGACCGGCGGTACTGCTTATAACTGAATCGTGGTTTCCATCTGGCATCCTGGATGCAGACTTGTCCACAGATGCATACGCCCCCTATGGCACTAATCGAGGTCATAAGCGTGGTGGTGGCTGTCTGGAGTACATATGTAACCAAGATACGGCGACTAAGGCTGGAGACAACATATTAAATGCAGTGCCTGGCTCGATATGGGTCACCTTACATAGCGACAAATACGAGATGCACATAGATCGCGTGTAACGAGCGCCATGTTCAATAGCGGAAACGGATATGCTTCTAGCCGAATCATTTTCCCGCGCTTCCGCACATAGTGCCAGTCTCAAACTGACTACCGTGACTTCATTCTTCCGGAAATTAACTGGATAGCTGGCTGTGGTCCGCAGCGCTTCCCCGGGATACCTGCTGCGATAGATCTCTACGGCTAGAAACGACATATCCACGCACCTACTGGTGGTGACAACATGTTGGACCCGGTATTTTGTCATGACCTCTCCCCAGTAACCACCTATGTTAGTGGCGAATTTTCCAGAAGCGATCACAGAACGGTATTCTGTTGTCTAACTGTACCAACACTAAGTGCGGGCGGTCAGCAAGCCTTAAGGAATAATGAGTGTCGCAGCCACAAAGGTACGGGCTGGAAACTGCTCAGAGAGCTTATAAGGTTCTCCCTTTCGAAAGTCCACTTTACCACTGATTCACTTACAACCGCGACACCCCATTTTTACAGGAATGTTACGTCATGTTTGGATGCTGCTGCTCCCATAAAAATAGCGAAGCTACGGTGCCACTCAGAATGCGTTCCACCCATATACCGCAAAAGGCTCGGGCGAATGTCGAATCCATGCCACTCCACTAAGTATTTCCCCTCACTGCATGCGGTCCATGATACCCCGGAGTCAATCAGGGGCTTAGGTGCCCAAAAAGCCCGAAGTGATTGGTTACGGGCCCCTAGAACTAGCTCCAAGGTATACAGTCTGACATCACTTCTAGAGAAACGCCTTCAAACAACAAGAGATATACAATACTTGCTTCATAACGAGGTAGTCTACAGCAACCTAGTAGTAAGTTGTGAGCAGTTTGGCGACTGGTTTGGGAATTTCAGTTGTGAGACACGTCCCCCTATCACTAGTATGCCACTCTCCAGTAACCATTTTGCGACTGTAGAATTTACTTGCACAAATATAGCCGGAACCAGCAAAAGCCCATGACCTACAAAAGGATGGGGATAAACGGCCTTGATTCAATGGCCCTAGGGAATGGTGGACAGTATCTTCCCCTGGTACTGTTTAAGTTGTTCACTTTCGGTGAAAAATGGGATGTATCCAAAAGAATGGAAAGCTAGCTTTGTAATTCCACACTACAAATCTGGAACAGGGCCAGTGTCAGCAACTACAAACCCATCAATATAACCCCAGTCCTATCGCGAATTATGGAGGAAGTTGTGAAAGAGAGTGTATCTGAACTCCCTGTCGTAGAATACTTTATAACAGAGTCTCAGCACGCCTTTACGAAAAAAAGATCATGCATTACGTGTCATTTCGACTCTTTCAACCTCATTACCAGTAGCCGTGAGCACACAAAATAGTCCCTGTTCTGTACTTCTACATATCGAAGGCGTTTGATATGGTTTTGCATAATATACCGCTTGAAAAGTTAGACGCACCCGGTATTAGCAACCCTTTGCCAAGCCGGCTAAAATCGTTTCTCAGTGATCGCACCCGAATAACGAAGGTCAATTCAGTTCTGTCTGCTTCGAGATATATCACAAGCGAAGTCGTGTATGGCAGAGCTCCCGGTCCTCTTTTGTTTATTATCTACATTACCAGTGTTCGCAACTGTTCTGACAAAGGTTACGCTTTTCTCCATGCCAAAGACGTAAAAGTCGTTTACTCTTTCGATGGCCATGAGCTAGGCGACACCATGACTTCCATTTGGTATGAACTGGAAAAGCTTTCAGCTTGGTGTGCTGATACCCTCCTACCGTTCAACATCAACAGATGCGGATGGATCTGCATTGGTAACGGTAACCTTGACTTGATATGTGAAGTATCCGGACGGCAGTTAGCAACACTTAGTTCTGTCTCAGATCTGGAGCTTAGATATTCCAGTCGCCTGAATTTCTCTGCGAAGGCGGCGTATAGCGTAATTAGGTCAGGCG